GGATAGGAACAAAAACACCCCACGAAGAATGCATTTTCACCCACGCTTTTTTCCCGTACCCACTTTTTCTTCTCCCAATCCATTCTGTAAACAAAAAGAAAGCTACCATAGGGAAAACTGGACGCAACTGTTAACAAATCACCCTCCGTCTCCACCAAGTAATAGCAGGTATAGGGGACGGAGGATGGACCCCAACTCGACGGGACGCACATTCAATCACACTGCTTTCTGGCGAATAACCCAGATGAGTCCCTTTGAATCCATGGTGTAAAAGTCATCCTTGTAGAATATTGCGTCAGAACACCGGCTGTCGAAGTTGTGAATTCCTCTGTTCCATGCACGATCCCCTGTTTTGCACAGGGAAAACCTGTGTCCGGATTTATAAGGATGGTTGGCTAGGAAAGTGCAGTAAGGATCGACCGGACCGTGCTGAATTCTGGATTTCCTGATGATTCAGGAGTCCTGAATTGTTTATCCCATGGCAGCTTGACTCTGATTCTGGTGAAAGGATTGAGATGATAAATTGCAGAGAGAAGGAATGGCTGATGTCGGTGCTGGAGAACAGGAAAAGGAACAAAAATGGCAGAGAGGGATGGGGGTTGAAGATAAGGGAAAGGTCAAATCATCATTTTTTTTCCACGTAGTTTTTTTGAAATAAAAGGATTAATTCGTGGTAAGTTAACATGCCACTTGGGCACTTCCGTGACGGAAGGACCATTTGGGTTCCAAATAAATAAAGTTAAAAGACAACTTGAGTGCTTTCATTTGTTAAAGGACGAACAAAGTTTTCAAATGAAAGTTTAAGGACCAAATTGGGTATTAAACCTTCTTTCTTCTTTCTCTATCACGCTGCTCCATCTCTTCTAGCTTTCGCAGCACCATCATCTCATCCCCTTTTGCTAAAACCTCCAATTCTTTGATTCGACTCGATAAAGCTTCTAGGCATTTGATTTTATCCTTCACTCCAATACCCTTGTTGCAGTTCTCAATGTTGTTGTCATTAATGGAGTCATTTGCCACCGAATCTATTGGATCTGCCTCAAAGATAACCAGCTGCACCATTTTTTCCGTCTCTAGCTGATTCCCTTTCTTTTTCTTCTGTAGCAAAATGCCTTCAACCCCGCCAGATTGCATATACACTGATCAGCATGACTTCACCCTTCGTTTTTGCCGTTTATTCCTCCTTCCCTCTCATTTTCTCATCCATTCCAACAACACCCCTAAGTCGATGTTCAGATCTTCCCAAAATGATTTTGCATCTCCTAAACTCACATAGTTTAATTATTCTTTAAAAAATCACATAGTTTAATTCCAAATAGACAAATTTGGGTCTTTTAATTAAAAGTAAAAATTTACTTACATATAAATGTTACACATCACACTTACATAAATTTTTAATTTTTTTTTTATTTTCAATTATTAAGATTTATAACGACTTTTTAAATAAAAACAAAAATTATCTTTAATAAATGTGAATAAATCTCAATCATTGAAATTGAAGAAATGAATTATTGGAATTTTATGTAAGTGTGGTATGTAAAACTTAGGTTAAATGCTAAATTTGGTCCCTCAACTTTATAAAGTTGCACTTTTTTTTATTCCTCAACAATTTTTTGCACTTTTTTGATCCCTCGACTCTAAGAAATGCACAATGTTAGTCATTCCGTCAATTTGAGCCATTAAGTCCACTCATGTGGCATTTTTTATATTTTATTTGATGACATGAATAATACAAGTAGAAAAATATGCTTATTTGGACTAAAACTTATGCCACATTGCAAATAAACTTTACCCACTTCATTTAATAAATAATAAAAACTTCAAAATTACATAAATGCCCTTAACTTCATCTTCTTCCCCTGATTTCCTCTTTTCTCCCCTTTATTCATTAAGTCTAAACTTCGACAACTTCTCCCTCCCTCTCCTTATCTCTGGTAGCTTCTCCTTCTCTTTTCCTTTTTCTAGTGCCAACTTCTCGTCCCTTCCCCTCCCATCCTTTGTTCGACTTTTTTTCTAAAATCTAGGTTTGAGCAAGATCTGGGTTCAAGCAAGATCTAGGTTTAGGCAAGATGAACAAACCTTGTAGATCTAGGTTTAAGCAAAACAAAGAAAATCTCGTAGATCTGGGTTCAAGCAAGATGAACCTAACTATTGGGTTCGTCAAAACCCAGCCTTGCTGGTTGCCCGAACCCAAACTTGCTGGGTTCATCGAAACCCAGCTGTTGGGTTCGCGCAACTAGCAAGGCTGGGTTTCGATGAACCTAGCTGTTGGGTTCACGCGACCAGCAAGGTTGGGTTTCAACCAACCCAGCCTTGCTGGTCACACAAACCCAGCCTTGTTGGTTTCATCGAGGTTAGGTTTCGACGTTGGGTTCATGTTTTTTCATTCTTCTTTCAATTTTCATTTCTAGTTCTTGATAAATTTGGGAGTTGATTTACAATTTGATTGCATTTTTGTTGGAATTGGATTAGAGTTTGATTGATATTGTTTATTGAATGGTTAATTTGATTTGATGAGATCTACTACCTTGATGAACTCAATGGCTTTAATGAAACCAATAACTGGGTTCGATGACAGAGAACTCAAATTTTGCTCTGAAGCATTCTAGGGTTCATAGTTCTTTGCAGGTTTTAGTGCGTTTAATTTGTGATAATATTACGTTGCATAATGTTTTGTCCATATCAGTATCTTTTTAGGTTGTTTTCTCCATGTCATTGACATGTCATCAAAAAATATATAAAAAATGCCACATGGCGGAGTTAACGGCTCAAATTGATGAAAGGACTAACGGAGTGCATTTTGTATAATTGAGGGATCAAAAAAGTGCAAAAAAATTGTTGAGGAACCAAAAATTGTTAAGGGACCAAAAATATGCATTGCATAAAGTTGAGGGATTAAATTTAGCATTTAACGTAAAATTTATATATAAATAAATCCTTCATCATTTAATAATTAAAATATTAATAAAGTTCTAATAAAAACAACAAAATATATAAAATTTTGTTTTTTCTTTTTCTTCTTTTTCTCTTTTTGATGAGAATATTTTGTTTTTTTCTTAATTTTTTGTTAATTGAAGTTATTTACTGTAATTAAAAACTCACCGATACCGAAGAGGAGGGCGTGGTCTCGACTTAATCATGGAAAGGTGATTTGATTCTTGTTAGTAAGGTCTTCTCAAGGAGAATAATTAATTTAACAAGCTTTCAAGTAGCCATGGCTTTTTCCCAACTCCACCACCAGCACTAGCACCAACTCCACCTACAACTTCCCCAGCACCGCAACAATGGGATGAGTATTTCCGGACTTCCAGCATTTCTCAAAAGCCAATTCCACAAGTGGTAGTGGAGTAGGTTTTCTACTGTATAGATAAGTTCAACGTGGATAGGTAGCGTCGTTGCACCGGTCGAGTCATCATTCCCGCTTAGCAATCAGGGTGTATCCAGGTCAACTTACTTCACTGCTCTTCCTAATTAGTTTGGTCATTGGTGAGCAGAAATAAGAACGAACAATCTAGTGGAGTGGAAGTTGCGTTAATGAGCCAATTCTGGGTTTTTCTGTAGATCATTTTAGGTCGTTGGTGCCCAACGGGCCAAGTCTGAATTGGGTTGGATTAGATTTAAATGGACTGGATTTCTTAGTTCATGATCCAGGCCATGTCCGATCTTTCATTCTTGTAGCCGATGCGCATTCAAGGGGTGGTGAGCCTTGAATCCAAGACTGGGTCAGGTTGCAAGGATTACAGATTAAAGAATCCAAATGGAGATGAGACTATGATTCCAATTTAACATTTCAATTAAAATTAAATGCCGCAGAATTTTACAACAAACAACACCGTGGGTGAGAGGGGAGAGGGAGAGGGATGTCTATGTCTACCTTATGATTGTTTCTAATTTACTGAAGAATGTGGAAAATCAAGACATCCTGACAGTAAAAATATCATGATGCCCAATCACAACACATGATGAAGTCTCATTCATCATGTAGTTGAAATTGGACATCTCGACATTTTTTGTAACAAGATGTCCTGATTTTCACTTTTGTGTTTACACTTTCTTGTTTCCAGGAAACGAACATGAAAACAAAAACTGCTACATGTTGCAGAAAATTACAAGGAAAGCGGCTGCAGGTTTGAGAGGTGGCCAAACCTAGGATATCCTGGCTGAGTTCTGGCATCTCGAAGAACAAGGACATTCAAGGTGCCAGATTCTCTTAGCCAGGCGGCAACGACAGATCCTTGTGATACAAATCTACCCAAGTTACATTTGGCAAGTTGAAAAGGTGCACCTATTCTTTTGAGGAGTTCTTCCACGACTCTCCTTAGTGTTCCTGCACCAACCACCTTGCTGTGCTTGCCCCATCCAGTCAAAATGCTGTGTAAAGGAGAACTCAGATATTTAATTTTTGGAATGAAATCTAAATGTTAATATAAACAGGTTTCAATCAGCCAATAGAAAATGTAGAGATTTGCTTACCTTAAAAGTTCAGGCAACTGATGGCCCTGAATTACAATTGAATGTATATTTAGGAGCCATGCATGAACCATTGCCTGAGCAGCTCCTGAGGACATTAGGTGCAAATCCAAGCAAGAATCAGACCACACATTGTCCCACACTTGCCGATTTTTCCCTTCAAGCACAACAAGCTTTGCTCCATATCTCTAGAAGACAAAATATAAAACATGTAAACTAGAAAATCTTTTCAAGAACCTTAAACATCATAGAAAAGATACTGAGAAGCAGAACAGGTAGTGTTACAATTGCAAAAACTAACCTGATCAAAGTGCCATAGCACGTCAGTCAGAGCATTGTAAAAGGCTGATGCAGTATCAGAATCCATCAATCTTAATTCATCAAAAAGGGACCGAGCTTGAAGCCAAACATTTCCTGAGTAGCCCATCAAAAGCCCATATGCCACACCATAAACTTGATTATCAAACAGCCTAAGCTCCTCCAAAAACATTGAGGCATCGTTGAATGAATTGCAGCGGCTGCATCCAAATACAATTAGCACAGATTAAGTTCAACCATATTTTTCTGCTAACCACTTGAATTAAGAAAAAAGAAGTAGACCATGCAAAATTTGACATCACTAAACCAGAAGTCTCTAATCTGGGAATTCAACAATCCTACTCCTTATTGGAAATAAGGGGCACACTAAAGCAGTTTATCTGCTC